TATTTATATATATATATATATATATATATATATACTTAATTATCATATAATTAAAATGTCCAAATATAAATATTTATTTATATACGTGTTTCTGTATCTAATCATATTGTCACACAATATAATATACACAACATATAAATAAAGTGCAACTTTACTCCACCTAAATATTCTACACTTTCATATGTTCTATGTGTGTGACCATATTCTAGGCATCTATAAAATTGGCCATAGTATCGATTAAATACTACAAGTGATAAGCAGTATCTAGCAACACATTATCACCCCCAAATTATAGATTAAAGCTCTTTAAACAATTCCTTCAACGACACATCCTATTTGTAGCGGGTGTGAACTTTTTGAAAATACTCTTTGACCAAGATGACAAAATATGTTTTTTTCACAAAATCGAACTACTTTGATACCAAATTGTAACACCCGCCTTCCGTGGACCCGGTTCACCCGTGACCCAACGGACCAATAGGGTTACATGGGCTGTCCGAAAACCGTCCGTAGAGAAAAACGCATTAATGTCTATTATGAAACGGTTGGGTTTAATTGATGGAATGAATGCTAGGGAGTTATTTCCAAAACGTGTGTGTTATAAATGCAGAGTAAAAGCAGAATTAAATAAATAAGTCCAAAATAAGTAAAATGACATATGATGGGTTCATGCCCAAATGATTAATTAATTCAAATGATTTTAATTATTAAACTCGTCCGTGCGCCGCCCATCTTCCCATCATCACTGTCCTCAAGGGTTGGCACTTGTACCGTCATGTCTACTTGCGTGTAGCAAAAACAACTACACGCTCAGCAAAAGCTGGGGAGTGAATCTAACAAAGGAACATGAAGTGATAACCCATATGATTATACACATATTAATACCTGTACTTTAACGTACGGAAAACCACATGTTTACTAACTGATTAATTTGCACTTGATGGGATATTTTTACACATAACAAAATAAACAACAACCACATTGAATGTTGATGTGACGTGGAACATACATGATGATAACGACCACATTAAATTTCAACATGACATGGAACACACATGATGACGGTATATATGACTTGATGCATGACTTAAACTATCAGGGACACCCCTGGCTTAGTCTCACTTGACAGATCACCCCTACACTCCGGTAATGAGTCGGGCTCGACGAAAATGTCGCAAGTGAAATAACAAAACTGGGTGGTAGCCGTAGCCTGACTACCATGTACGTACACAAAACCCACCTGATGAAAACCTGTTGGATCCCGAGGGTTCCTGGACGGGTCCATTGTACTAGGTGCACGAAAGCCTGACCTCCCTACAGCGGTATGCACATGATGGAAAAACCTAGAACATGCGCCTAGAATGAACATGATGAATGCTTGATGTATTTACCTTTGGTCAACGCCAAGAATATATCAATTAAATAACATACATAATGAAGATTATCATTTCATGCAAACATACAATCAGATTCTGAATCAATATAATCAATGGGGCTTATTCTACAACTTGCCTGGAATTCTGCCCGGGAAACGGTCGACCGTACCCTCCCGGCGGTCGACCGTGGCTACGTTATGGAGGTCTGGGATGCCGACGGTCCACCCTGGTCTTCCGTCGCGACCGGCGGTCAACCGTTACGGTGGTGGCCGACACACGGTCAAGGGAAACGGTCCACCGTCCTTAGCGGCGGTCGACCGTCCCGTAGACAGTCCACTGTCCCTTGCTTCATTTTGATCCGTTTTGTGAACTTAACGCCTTGATTCTTTTAGAACAATAATGTAAACATTTATGAACCAACGAGCAGATGGACGGACCACCTCGTACGTGACTTCCCTTCTCTTCTACCTTCCGCCTGACCGCCGGAATCCTCTCTGGGATAGCTTGCTGCCTTGGCTGAAAATCAAGGGAATAGGAAGAGTATGTGTAATTGTCTTTGGGAGTTACAATTTGCTAAGGGAAGTGAAGAGAGGGAGGAGCTTATATATTGAATATGTAATGATGAGGATTAATGGGCAATTGAATGGGAAATAATGGTGTGTGCATGTGGGAGAGGAATGGCGTGAGAGAGGGAGAGTTACAAATATTTATTTATTCCGTTGAGTAAAAATCTAACCTGAACAGTACACGCTTTTTTCCCCGAATGGGTCTGAATTGAGATCCGTTTGTGTTTCCGAAATCAGACCGTCAAAATGAATTTAATGACATGTTCAAATAATTTTTCTAAGAACTTTTTATTTTCCCCAACTTTGTTCTGGAACAGTAACTAATTATTTAAAACAATAAATTCTAATAGACCGGGTTGCAGGGCGTTACACGTGAGGTTGAACCCTCAGAGGTGGCCTTAGCTTTGCCTCTCCTCAAACTTCGGTTCACGGCACCCATATCCAATGACCTTCGCTCCGGACTCTCTCGACATTTTAATATATATTATTTTTATAAAAAAAAGAGACTATATTAAAATATTTATAATATTAATTATATATTGAATTTCAAAAATTTCGAAAATATAATATTAGTAAATAATAATATATGATAATTGATAATATGAATAATGAATGTATTTATATATTATTATATAATAATATTTTTCTAAAAAATTATATTATACATTAATTTTTTTGACTATTTCGAACTATACTAAATATTTAAAAAATTAATTAAATATTAAATTTCAAAAATTTCGAAATTATAATATTAGTAATAATATATGATAACTGATCATATGAATAATGAATGTATTTATATGTTATTATGTAATATATTAATATATATTTATATTATTATATGAATATAAATTGAATAAAAATTTAAAAAAGATAATAAGATTGAGAGATTAAGAGATTGATGGAATGAGAGATTGAGAGATGGAGGATTGAGTGTGATTTTTTTTAAAAATGGTATAATTTATAGTAATTCCCTCCCCCTTCCCCCACTTTCCACCTCAAACGGCTAAATAGCCGCTGAGGTTCCCCCACCCCACTAATTTTTTTTTCACTTTTTTTCAGGTTTTTGCAGGTGTGGACCCCAATGTTTGAGATAAAAAAAATTAAAATTGATACCGAAACTGGTACCGGTACCGAAA